GATGCAGGGGACGCGGCTTCGTGCCCCGGTCCGGGAAGATCCCACGTGCCGCGGAGCGGCTGGGCCCGTGAGCCATGGCTGCTGGGCCTGTGCGTCCGGAGCCTGTGCTCCGCAACGGGAGAGGCCACAACGGTGAGAGGCCCGCGTACCGCAAAAAAAAAAAAAAAAATCATGTGTTTGGTTCCCCTGGCAACAAGCCCCATCCTTAGGTGCTTTCCCAAAGTCACCTCATTCACATAAACTCAGGTGTCATTGAAAGGGTTTCATAATGAATGTTAAGATACTTTTACTGCTGTTACCACTTAGGAAATTACAAGGGTTTTAGGAGCTTTGTGCCAGAAACTGACAAAGACCGAATATGTACATTTCTTATTATGAGTCACAACATCACACACAATAAGCTCCAAAAGTGTTCATTCTCTTCTTTCTCTTTACATCCTTTGGATATGATTATCTCTCAGATTCCTTCCAGCTCTAATTTAAATGCAAACTTTTTACAAGACACTTTTTACAAGCCAAGAAAATCTAGAGGTACTAGAAAGCCACTTATGAGTTCCATCACTCAAACGTGATGGCCCAGGGTTGTATAGGCAGAGTTTTTAGACCCTCTTCAACCCCTGAGCTTCTCCTGGCCATTGTGATTCAAGTGCTTCTGTGTAGATTTTAGACAATTAGCTTCTAGAACCAGCCTTATGTATGTCCTAATTCTAGAACTGATGTACTATCAGAACAGATGGGCTTTGCCAGATCATCTCGCATCTCGATTTATGGGAAGGGTTTTGCCAGATGGACTTGGATGAGAAATTCAGATCAGAAGCCACCTAATACCTGTTAGAGTGTTTGAGTTAAATGTCTTGCCCTTTGAACTCAGAAAGGCACCTCTTTCTGGTGACTGGTTTAATGGTCTGTTAAGAGGGCTGGAGCCATTTGCCTTGGCCTCTGCCGACAGGCGGCCTGGCTGTACTTAGCTGAATGCAGGTGAACATCCAAGACAGGTCCTGCTGCTGCTGAATAGGGCTTCAAGCCAAGTATAGGATATAATTTATTAAATGCCACATTGGGCCTGAGTGCCCCCAGCGTCTTCAAGTCCCAGGGTGGTCTTATGGGATTAAGCATGAGTGATCAGAGTCTGGTCAGCTCCTACAGCTAAGAAGAAAAGTCGGGTCATTTTGAACTGGTTGGATACGAGATAGTTTTTATCATCTCTTGTTTTAGGCTTGTGACTGGATTTCTTAGCACCTCTGATGCAGATGAGTAAACCTGATCTGAACACCACAGGGTCAAGGAGCTCTTTAAATGGAGCCGTTTCTGATTCTTTTACCGGCTCTGTGAGCCCCAGACTTTTCACAGGCCTCAATCCTGGCGGGTCCTGCTCTGGGCAGGGCTCTGTGGCTGGTGGCTAGGCGGGAAGGATGGAGGCCAGCACTCATGGATAAGGGGGCTTCTTTTTTTTTAGGTTTTTTTTGTTTGTTTTTTTTTTTGATGTGGACCATTTTTAAAGTCTTCATTGAATTTGTTACAATATTGCTTATGTTTTGGGGTTTTTTTGGCCGCAAGGCATGTGGGATCTTATCTCCCCGACCAGGGATCGAACCCACACCCCTGCATTGGAAGGTGAAGTCTTAACCACTGGACCGCCAGGGAAGTCCCTGATAGGGGGGCTTCTTTAGCAGTGTGGTCAGAGGGAAAGGCATCTGCTCTCCAGGAGGAGCATCTAGCCATGATCTGCCTGTCAGTTAACACGGGTTGTAGACATCTGGCTAATAAACCCTGAAATTGCTTGAGATTTCAGACAGCAGTTTTCAGGAGGGGTCGTGGATATTTCAAGATCCCCAGGATCATTATTAGGACATATTCTTGGGTAGGAGAGGATACAGGAAAACTTCAACACTGTTTAATGGGCACACTGGGAGCCTTTAAAAAGCACTAACCATCTGAGATTCTGTTTAATGATCTTGGGTGGGACCTGGGTATTTGTGATTGAAACACACAGCCAGGGTTGAAAACCACAGCTGAGGAAAGGACACAGGTTGGGTCTGGATCAAGATTAGAGTTTGACAGTAGAGGGAGAGGAACAGTGGGCTGAAGTTTGTTCTATTCCAGATACAATAAGGAGACTTGAGATTGGGACAAGCTCCCTTAATCTCTGAGCCTCTGGGGCTAATAAGATTAGAAGGCTGGTTGCCCGGAGAACTTTCCTTGCCTGCTAAGGATAAATTGATTTGAAAGTGAGGTGAAGAACAGGTTTAGCCAAGCCATTAGCATGATACTTACTTCGGCAGGAAAGTAAATATTATGTTTGTATCAAGTCTTTATCTGCCCTCCCAGGGGCTAAGGTCCAGCATTTCCAGCTTGGTTGAGGGCAGCAGTGAGACTTAATTCTAATGATACAAATTGATCATCAGAAACTGCCCGATAGGCAAGTGATGAATGAATGATGGAAGTTGGCAACCCAGCCCACCTCCCCACACTGTGAAAATAATACTCCCGTTCATAGGAAAAAAACTATGCAGAAAATTAAAAAAGAAAAACAGTAGACGTTGTTCCCAGTCCCACATTCAGAAATAACCTCTATAAATTCTTCTCGACATATGTTGATAGGAAAGAATAATTTTCTAAAAAGGGATGCTACCTGCCTTTTTTTTTCCATCTCACATTGTGCCGTGGATCTCTTGCCACGTCAATAAATATAGGCCTAAATCAGTTTTAAAGGCTGAATAGGATTTCATTATATGGAGGAGCCATTGTTTTAATCCATCTTTGTTGATGGACATTTAGGTCATTTTCCATTCAAAGCTATGAACAGTGAGATAAAGCATCCTGTCCACGAGCCTTTGAGATAGGCATCCAGCTATGGGGATCCGGTGCTTTGATAACACGGTTGCCTAGCTGGGGAGTGGGGTTGACAGAGCCCACGGTCTCCCATTGTACTGCTCCCGGCTTATGGTATTATAATTCATCTCTTATTTGCTTCTGTGTTTCTTTATCCCCCTCCTCCCACACAGTCAGAGTGGGCTCTTTGGTGAGGGGTAGAGTGCACTGTACTCACTTAGTCCCACCCTTTCTCATTATTAGAATGTGCAGAGTTTAGATTGCTTCTGAAAGTATCTTGACGGTCAGCAGAATGGCCTCAGATTTTGAACAGCTAGTGAGAAACCTGCTGCGGGCTGTGTTGTTGCAACATCCTAACAGCGATGTTCCACATGCATGGAATTTACATAAAGGGATGGGAAGGTCTCTATTTGCCTCATTTAAAAAATTATGTTGAACATTTATTTCTCAAGCATCTGATAAGGGCCTGCTGGGTGCCAGGGTCTGTGTTTGGCACAGGAAAATCAAAGATGATTGAGTGTGTGGTCCCTGCCCTTCGAGGCTCGTGTTCACCTGGAGGGGCTCACAGTTTCATGTTCCTAAATGTTGCTTTCCATGGAAGTCAAGCTCCTGAGGCTCCTCAGGACTGTAGTGTCAACAACTTGGATGTTATAGAGGAACGTTTATATGAGGGAAATTGTTTTGCAGTTTCCTTGGATGGATAAGACTGAAGTGGTGTTTCTGGTGAAAACTAGAGGAAGTTGAAATGCCTTCATGGACCAGAGCAGAATTCTCTCAGGCAAATCCCCTCCTGTCTTTCCATCTTCAGTGCGGGTCGTTTAAAGGGTCATGAATTTTGGTTTTAAATTTTAGAGTTTAGGGTGACAGAATGCCAAGACCTGTGTATGAGCAGAGATTTTCGATGGCGGGGCTTGTAGTCATTACTAGATTAACGGAGACTTGGTTGTAACTTGAGAAAACTCAGAAGGAAAAGGCAGTTGGTGGCTCCGCTGAGTAGAAGGGACTTTATAGATCAATGAGGTAAAGGGTGTTAGGTTATTTTAGGCACCTCTTTGGAAAGCTAACTCTCCCCAGGAGAAATGCTCTTAATGTGCATAAGCACAGATATTTTTTTTTAAATGAAGTATATAGTTCATTTATAATGTGTTAGTTTCAGGTGTACAGCAAAGTGATTCAGTTATATATATATATTTTTTTTTCAGATTATTTTCCATTATAGGTTATTATAAAATATTGAATATGGTTCCCTGTGCTATGCAGTAAATCTTTGTTGCTTATCTAGTTTATGTACCGTAGTTTGCATCTGTAGTTTAGTCCCAAACTCCTAATTTATCCCTCTCCCCTTACCCCTTTGGTAACCATAAGTTTGTTTTCTATTTTTGTGAGTCTGTTTCCATTTTGTATATAGATTCATTTGTATTATTTTTTAGATTCCACGTATAAGTGATATCATGTAATATTTGTCTTTCTGTGACTTACTTCACTTAGTATGATAATCCCTAGGTCCATCCATGCTGCTGCAAATGGCAATATTTCATTCTTTTTTATGGCTGAATAATAGTCTATTACACACACACACACACACACACACACACACACACACACACACATCTTCTTCTTAAACCAGTCATCTGCTGATGGGCACTTGGCTTGGCTATTATAAATAGTGCTGCTATGAACATTGAGGTGTGTGTATCTTTTCGAATTAATGTTTTCAGTTTTTTTGGGTATATACCCAGGAGTAGAATTGCTGGATCAAATGGTTCTATTTTTCGTGTTTTAAGGGACCTCCGTATTGTTCTCCATAGTGGCTGCTCCAATTTACATTCCCACCAGCAGTGTATGAGGGTTCACTTTTCCCTTTTCCTCTCCAGCACTTATTATTTGTAGACTTTTTGTTGATGCCCATTCTGACCCGTGTGAGGTGATACCTTGTTGTGGTTTTGATTTGCATTTGTCTCATAATTAGTGATGTTGAGCATCTTTTCATGTAGCACAGGTATTTTTATACCATTCCAAGCTGTTTGCAGATCCCCAGCCTAAGAGCTCATGATCTGGTACAATCCCTGGTTTTAATTACTAAGAGTTGTAGGGCAGGGTAACTCCAAGGGACTGTGTAATCTTACTGATGAACTATTCCTAAGAAAAATTTTTTTTCTTTCTTTCAGCACTGGCTGGATCATTCCAAACCCATAAAAAAGCAGATGAAAAGTAAGTAAGCAGAATTTAGTTTACTACCTTCTTTTATCAGAGAGTAAACTCCTTTGCCAATGTTTTGAGGTATTACATTTTCATTAGAACTTGGGAGCATTTTCAAATGGATTCAATTTTAAGGATGAATTTTAATTTCCTAAGGCTGGTTAAATATTAGAGTTTAAAATTTGAATAAGAGTTTTTAGTAGATGTTAAAAAACAGACTAAGCCCTCATTTGAAATCAGACGCTTCTCCCAATGAGGACTGATAAATATGCTGTTCAGAAACATGACTTTATACCTGTGACATTCATTTTCTCGTGAGTTATGAAGTAGATTCAGAGAATGGGAGAGCAGGAAGGATCTTTGACAGTCTGGTCCAGCTCTCTGATTTTATAGTTGTGGTAACCAGATTTCTTCAATGTGGTTTATGTATGAGTAATTTTTTTTAATTTAATACTTTTAAGGTTTTTTTACCGTAGTTTTTTTGTTTTTTGTTTTTTGTTTTTTTGCGGTACGCGGGCCTCTCACTGTTGTGGCCTCTCCCGTTGCGGAGCACAGGCTCCGGACGCGCAGGCTCAGCGGCCATGGTTCATGGGCCCAGCCGCTCTGCAGCATGTGGGATCTTCCCGGACCGGGGCTCGAACCCGTGTCCCCTGCATCGGCACGCGGACTCTGAACCACTGCGCCACCACGGAAGCCCTACCGTAGTATTCAAGCTCTGGACATGCAGGCTCAGCGGCCACGGCTCATGGGCCCAGCTGCTCCACGGCATGTGGGATCTTCCCAGACAGGGGCACGAACCCGTATCCCCTGCATCGGCAGGCGGACTCTCAACCACTGCGCCACCAGGGAAGCCCAACTCATTTCACTCTTATTTTTGCCTTTTTTTTTTTGGCGGTACGCGGGCCTCTCACTGCCGTGGCCTCGCCCGTTGCGGAGCACTGGCTCCAGACGCGCAGGCTCAGCGGCCATGGCTCACGGGCCCAGCCGCTCCGCGGCATGTGGGATCTTCCCGCACCGGGGCACGAACCCGTGTCCCCTGCATCGGCAGGCGGACTCTCAACCACTGCGCCACCAGGGAAGCCCTACCGTAGTATTTTTTTTTTTTTTTTTTTTTGCGGTATGTGGGCCTCTCGCTGCCGTGGCCTCGCCCGTTGCGGAGCACTGGCTCCAGACGCGCAGGCTCAGCGGCCATGGCTCACGGGCCCAGCCGCTCCGCGGCATGTGGGATCTTCCCGCACCGGGGCACGAACCCGTGTCCCCTGCATCGGCAGGCAGACTCTCAACCACTGCGCCACCAGGGAAGCCCTACCGTAGTATTTTTAGATTACAGAACACTTGACTGTTTATGTGTCACTTTCCTTTAGCCCACTTAGTATTTTGTTAAAAGTTAGTATCACTTTGCAGTATCTTGGCAATCAGGGGTGAAAGTAAAAGGTTAGTTCTTAGTAATTCATCTAGATGATGAGGGTTTTTTTCCAGAATGAGATTGCTCGCTAAACTATCTTTGTCAAAACCGAAGTCCATTTTAGTTTTCCAAACTAGTGTTGAAAAGAACTTACTAGCTTTGTATGTTCCGCTGTTACCTCCCAGAGTACGTGGTGGATATGTTAATAGATTTAACATGTTTTTCCTTTTGTCCATTCTGTGATCTTCAAAATTGGGGAAAAACATCTTCAACCTTCCATCTCCAAATGCTTAGTTGGACCTGCTTATGCTTTGCACTTTCGAGTTAAATATTATTCTTCAGAACCGAACAACCTTCGTGAAGAGTTTACAAGGTAGGACAAGATGCAAAACAAGATCCTCCTACCCACCCACACCCCATAGCATCTGCTTTACTTACAGTCCATGGGTCTTCTAAACTGTGGGTTTGCCGCCTCTTTCGTCTGCTGTCTTTATATTCTGAGCAACTGTTATTAGCACTTTGTGTGTGCTTATCTCTGTATTCTGTTGAAAATCCACACTTGGCTTGACTGGACCTTTTTCATAGTGAATCAAAATGTAAAACATTTATTTTCTTGTCATGTTCCTGTTTTGTTGGACCTTGGGTAAATTGGCTAGTTGGCCTATGGCACTTTAATTTTGTCTCAGATACAAAAAGAGAAGGCAAATATTAGAAGAGCATCTCTGCCTCCAAAATTGCCACCTTATTTTTTTATGCAACTGCAAAATATTCCCTTGATTGTTATAATATCAAAGTTGTTAGAATTCCATCACAGTATCTTTCCGCCCCACCGAATTTCTTTTGTAGTGCGCCTGCCCTTGCCTGTCTCTTAGACTTCGGAAATAGTGTCAAAGCAAAAGAGGCTTAAAGAACATTTTACGTGTGGACTTTCTCTCCAGCCACCCTTCTATCAGTGAGAATCTCTACTCAGCCTTCTGCTGCTTTTGATGTCCCCAGAATCTCCTTGTCATTGTCTGTGATGGACAGTTGTGGTGACATTTAAGCTTCTGGGTGATCCATGGTGGTGGCCACTGGCTTGGAGGTGACCCCCTAAGTAATACTTTAAAGACGGACTTTATCATCATGCCCCCCATGGGAGCGGCGTGGGGGCTTCTGTGGTTAGGTTTTCTTATAGGAATTGGAAGTTCTGACCACGTCAGCGTTGTGTCCTCTTTGTTGTGGGTACTCAGTTTAATGGTGGTTGAGCACTTCTCAGAAGTAGTAACATTCTGGAATGTACTAGAACCTTCACCACCACCCGCATGTCTGCGTCACCCACATTGTCCCATATCCATTCCACAGAGAGTGACCGTGTGCATTGTTTTCAAAGTTCAAACAAATTACATTATCCTAGTGTTTCTCTTTAGAGTCCTTTATGAAGTGTGCTGCTTCTAGCTGTCATCAGAGCCAGTGATTCTTAACCAGGGTTTGTGAATCAGAAACACCTGGGAGGCTTTTGAACAGATCAGATTCCTGGGGACCACTCTTGTGTGTAAGCTTCTCATTCTGTAGGTATGGAGTGGAGCGTGGGCAGCTTTGGTTTTTACAAAGCACTGTAAGTGGTTCTGATGCCCACATCCTCCTGGTAAAAAGAACACTTAACTTAATCTTTTACTTCAGTGAACTGCACTTGTGTTATTTGCTGCCTTCCTCCCCATTTTCTGCTACCCCTGTGACCAGCTGCCATCCAATTCCAGGACTTTTGTTTCGTGTGTGTGTGTGTGTGTGTGTGTGTGTGCGTGTGTGCGCGCGCGTGCACACATGCACTTTGTTTTTTCAAAGGCAGAGTCTGCAGTTAAACTGCATCAGAAAAAAAGCCTCCAGTGGTTGCTAACTACAGTCAGCTGTAAATTTTTTGATACAATCAGCTGCAGCCTTTCTGGACTCTGCTGGTGGGCAGGCTGAGGGCCCAATGCAGTGGCTCTACCCTGCCTGTTGGATTGGACACGTTGCATGCTGCGTGTGAGCCCTGCGTGCGTGTGCACGTGTGTGTGTGTGTGTGTGTCTCTCTCTCTCCTGGAGCCCCAAGGGCCTGTGGAGGTGTCATTGGACTGTGCAGTGCTCCATGTTCCATCCTCCAAGTATCTTGCGAATTCCTACATGCGCTCACCTTGCTAGCTAGATTCTGGGATGCCTTCCTGGAGACAGGAGGAGATGCTTCCACCCAAGTTCTCATTTGATTTGGACTCCCTTTTTACAATGCAGAATTCCGGGCTGTGTGTGGGGTGGGATTTGTGATGGGAAGTTGGGGACTGGAAGTGGCTGGGGAAAAGTTTACCCTCTGTTGACTTTTGTATATGTTTGTCAGGTACCTGTTTGTTTTACAACTCAGGCATGACATTCTTTCAGGAAAGTAAGTATGTTTTTGTTCTAACTCTTAACTCAGGATAGATCATAGTATATTTTCTAAATAGTTCACCGTGTGTGTTTTTTTTTAACTCTTTACGCTTGTTCCCTTTTCAAAATTCAAAAAAAGTACACCAGGCATTGTAAAGTGAGTCTGATACTTGTATCACAGTCATCATCATCTTATTTCACGTGATGGCTTGAAGCATTTCCAAGAGCATTTAATATCTTAAGTGATGTGTATCTGGGAATAATTCTCTCCCTGATCACATCACTGCCCCATTCATAACGGCTTTTGTCGTATTTGTAAGCAAGATACGTTATTAGTATGTATACACTGACAAGTATTTGGATCATCCAAAAGTCTCACTCATCACCATCTGCATTTAAGTAATGTAAAGAGGTTATGTTCTGATTCTAGTAGCTAGAGGTTATGACATCTCATCTCGTTTCCTTTTCCTCTCTTAAAAATGGTCTTTAAACACTAGGCCTCTGGCTATACAATGATTGTTGAGCGCAAGAACCACTGGCACTGAAATGGTGGGTTTCACAGGCAGTATGTATTTTAAGGATATGAGATTTCAGCAGTCATAACTTTTACAGTTGTGTCATTTTTCACCAGACGTATTGACTATTTTCCGTTACATGAAAAACTAAGATATACTGAATCTAAAAAGCAATACCTGCTATTACTGACAAGAATACATTTTGATTTTGAATATAATCTGAAGGAGATTTAAAATGTGATTTCCGAATTTGGAAGCTCTCTGCAGAACATGTGCTATGAGAATCCTAGTGGAATGTACACTATAGAACGAGTAGATTGTACAGTGTATACATTTGCCTTATTCAGCCATTCAGTACAGATCTTTGATTGTGTGTGTATTTCTCTCTCTCTCTCTCCATACTGTGCTTCCCATACTAAGAGCCTCTTAACTGGTGACTGTCTTTGGTCTGGAAAAATATTAATGGCGATGCCTTGCATTTGTACAGTACTTTGCAGTTTACGTGCACGTCAGCCTGATTTACTGCATTCCTAGCAGAATAGTGTTCTGGCGGCCCCAGCGTTGCCTCTACCAGCTGGCCGTCTGTGGGCAGGACACTTGAACACTCAGTTCCTCATTTCTGAGGTGGGAATGGGGAGCACAGGCAGCCCCCATCCTAGGGGTTGACGCACTTGATGCATTGACCAAACTGGATAATATACATATATGAAAAGGCTTTGAAAACTATGAAGTGCTGTACCAATGTGTGTCATTATTATTTTTCTAACTAAATTTGTAATAGTAAATATGAATGAGATCACTGGATTTGTAGTAATACATCTCTGTGGCGGTGCCTCAGTTATTCGATTGCTTGAGTATATCCAGCTGTCCTGGCCATCTTAGATATGGTTTCTGTTTATTTGTAACACTATGACCTCGTTTCAAGAAAGAGTGAAGGCAGCTTCAAAAGATGCATGTACTAGACCAAGATAAAATAAGTTTAAAAATAATAAGGCAAAGGGAAGGCTTTTCATTCAGTTTCCCAAACTTCCCAGTTCTTGCCAGATTCGGTAAAATTGCCCACTCTACTTAGAGTTGAGAGGAGCTATACCTAGATGGGGTTATTTTACCATATGATGAGAGCTGACTTTGGGAAACAGGGAGTGTAAGTCAGCTTGTTCGCATTCTTTAATGTAGACAGCAAAAATAGAAACCAGCGAGAACAAAAATCATTATCTAAATATCACTACCTTCTGAGATGATGTTACTGACATTTTGTATAGTTATGAATATTAAAGTTCGTATTTACAGTTAATTTCTTTTTTTCCCTTCCAAGGTTGAAATGCCCATATGAAACAGCTGTGGAGTTAGCTGCTCTCTGCCTACAAGGTACATTATTCCTTAGTGGTAATTAGCATTTTAAAGTTGTTGCTTTTCATTTCAACAAACGGGGGTCTCCTGTGTACCAGGCACAGTGCTCTGCTTTGGTCTCCGTCCCCAAGTAGCTTTCAGTCCCATGAGGGCCTCGTGGCCGGATCACATACTCCGTGTGTACGTACAGAGTACAGCGTGGTTCCTTCAGGAAGAGAGACCTGCAGGAGGCTTGGAAGGTGGAGGCCTGTCGGGGGAAGGGTAGATGGAGATGAACAGAGGAACCAAGGCGCAGAGTAGAAAAGTGTGGAGAGGCACTAGCAGTTGATTGGTGTCAGAGGGCCAAGTTCAAAAACCTGGAGCGGCGGGTGACCTTGACCCCATTTAAAGCGCATGAACTTCGTGCTGTCAACATGGCGTCTCTGAAGGCTCTTGAGCGGGAGGCAGGCCTGGTCAGACGTGCATTTTAAGAAAGGCCACAGTGGCTGTGATGGGGAGAAGGGATGGGGGCAAGACCAAGACTGGGGCTGGGGGTGAAGTGAGGAGGTGTAGCTGTAACAAAACGAAACTAAGGCTGGGGGTTAAACACACACCCCAAAATAGCATCAGTGGTACAAGGAGAAGGAGCTGGTCATTAGGCTCAGTGTTGAGACAGGAGACAGAGATGATTCATAGGCTGCTACCAAGGATGGGAGATGGTGACAGTGAATGGTTAGAAGAAGAGTTGGGCTCCAGTGGGGGGACATCTGTGTAGGGTCTCTTGGCTGAGAGGGGCCAGTGGCGCCTCTGGGAGTTTCTTGAGTCTGTAGAGATCTGGCTCCACCAGATAGGTCAGGCTGGAAGCACTGACAGGGGAGAGTCATCAGCACGTGGGTGGGAATTGGACGGTAAGAGGGTTGCCTGTCTCTCAACGTTGACTATTCCATCTGTCTGATGCGCTGGTGGATTTTTAGTTTAACGTGCACAAGAAACACTTGTTAAAGTTGCCAGCACTAATTAAAAGGATACTAATGTGTAACTAACTGCATGTAAGGAATTTCATCAGCACGTCGGATAGACATATATTGCAGACTCGTTTATCAGGGCTTCTATGGGATAATGAATTATGATGTATTCATTTATAACTACTAATTATTTTTGAGTGCCGTAGTAAGATTTGGCTTCTGACTTTTGTATTTACCGAGTTTTAAAAGTTGATCTAAGTCTTTTCAAATTATAAAATCAGTACAGGCTTATTATAGAATATCAGGACAACAATCAGACAAGTAGAAGGAAGAAAGTAACCTACGGTCCTACCCACAGACAAGCAGAGTTTCTATCTATGAGTTTGAGTTTTAAAAATGTAGTTCTGATCAGACTCATACACAAGTTTTTTTGTATGATTTTCTACTTGGTAATTTTAGTACATATATTCTTTCTGTCATGTTTGTACTTATAAAGAAGGTTTATAGTGACCAGGTTACTCCCATTCCCTGATACTTCCATTCCTTAGTCACCTTTACTGCTTGTTTTTTTTCATTTATTTATATACATATATATATATATTTTACATCTTTATTGGAGTATAATTGCTTTACATTGTTTTGTTAGTTGCTGCTGTATAACAAAGTGAATCAGCTATATGCATACGTATATCCCCATATCCCCTCCCTCTTGAGCCTCCCTCCCACCCTCCCTATCCCACCCCTCTAGGTGGTCACAGAGCACCAAGCTGATCTCCCTGTGCTATGTGGCTGCTTTCCACTAGCTATCTGTTTTACATTTGGTAGTGTATATATGTCAATGCTATTCTTTCACTTCGTCCCAAGTAGTGTAGTGTATATATGTCAATGCTATTCTTTCACTTCGTCCCAAGTGAACCCTTCCACCCCCAACCCTGCCCCGTGTCCTCAAGTCCATTCTCTACGTCTGCATCTTTATTCCTGTCCTGCCCCCTGGGTTCTTCAGAACCTTTTTTTTTTTCTTTTAGATTCCATATATATGCGTTAGCATGCTGTATTTGTTTTTCTGACTTACTTCACTGTGTATGACAGACTCTAGGTCCATCTTCCACTTTAGTGCTTATTATCTAGTGGGGACTTGGCATATAATAGGTGCTCAGTAAGTGCAGAATGAAATTCAAGAGCCCCCCCCCCTTCAATGGACTTTGGCTGAAGGGCAGTCTGCCCATGTGGTCTGAAGGCACTTGTGTTGGAGGTAACCGTCTGTGCTAAATACAATGCTAAGTGCTTCACATCCATATTTTCCTGATACAGTGGTCCTTATGGTAAGTGCCATAACGATGTGCAGTGGCTTGGGGAACTTAGAAATGGACTGTCCACTTTGACCAATCTGTATTTCACCAGCTTGCCAAGTTGCATCCACCCAAGAGTTTCTGAGCTGCCAGGAGGTCATACTGTCAGGCAGTAGATGGCAGGGTGTAGTTAATGGGATGAAAGCATCCATGTCAGACTGGGGCCGTCAGTCCACCTGAGAGGTTCTTCCTAAGGCCATTGGCACACGTCCTAAATGATTAGAGGACGATGAGGCACAGATGTCACCACCCTGCCTGCCCCCAAGTGGTGAAGGCATCACCCAGCTCTAGGAGAACCATTTGCCTTGCCCTGCAGCCGAGGCAGACAAGAATACCAGCTGTCATTTGAGCCCTTCTTGGAGAAATTACCTATCTGAGTGGGAACCACAGCATTAGTGTAATTTAAGATGCAGTCATTATGTCAGGTACAAAGAAAAACTGAAGATGTAGACACAGAAATGGGGAAGTTTTTGTGACATTGTCTCTCCGTGTCCCCTCCTCCCCCCAGCCCATCAGTAAATGCTTCTAGTTGAGCCACAAAGAAGCCGGTTTGCCTTGGACTATGATCGCTAAGAGCTTCTGTGGGTTTGCACAGTGAAAGCTTGTGTACCTCTTCCCGTGCTTGAGCCTTGGATACGTGTCTTGCTGCAGTTGTCCTTGAATTGATGCCTCCTGAGTTGTGATGCAGTGGCCCCGCGTGGAGGCTCTGCTCTTTGAGAACTAATTTTATGGTTGATTTGGAAATTATTTCAGGCACAAAGAAGAAGGAAGGAGAATGGGATAGTCATTTGTTGTGTGTCCATGTCTTGTTTCATCTTTGTCAGCTTCCCTTTTGTGGATAAGGCATCAGAGACCCAGGACAGTTAAGTGGCTTGCCCAGGTCACACAGGTAGTATATGGTCAAGTTGGGAGTCAAGCCCTCCTGCCTCTGAGCTGTTTCCATCACGCCCCACACCCTTCACAGCTGGGACCCCGGCTGCAGAGCTCAGAGACCGAGCAAAGTGTCCTCTTGCCGGCAGGTTCTTGGAAGGCAGGCAGCAAAGTGTCTCCTTTGCCTGGTCTCAGGGGAACCTCGTCATTGGCTTCTCCCTCCTGTTCTTGATGATGTCAGATGCACAGTTAATCCAGTCTTGTGCAGACACACCAGTAAACACAGGGCTCACTTTGGCCCGTGGGTGCAGCGTGGTTCATATCAAGGAGATCTCTTGCCGGACTGCCCTTCTAGCCTTGCCAGGTCCCCAGCTTCAGGGTGACATCTTGGTCAGAAGCCAGTCGTGGCCCCCGACCTTGGGAGCCCAGCCCTCACCTTTTCTGGGCAAATATGTCACCATCTTCATTTGTGACTTTGCCCGAGGCACCAAGCAGCTGCACATCCTGACCCAGACCACCTGGTGGTATTAGGGGTGCTGTCCAGTTGAGAGCTGCAGATGAGGGGCTGCAGTCAGGTGAGGGGACAGTCACTAGGTCCCCGCCCTGAGTCAGACACCGTCTCCTGCAGTCCTCCCACCACCCCTCCGAGTATGGTATTGCTGCTTCCTCTGCGTGGACAGGAACATTTTAACCTCTTCTCCTGCCAGCCAACTGGAGTCCCTTTCCTGAAAGGTGGGCTCTGGGATTGGGGCTCAGAAGCCACTGGAAAGGGCTGCTGGGTCCATAGTGAGTTGCTGTCACTGGGGGTGTTTGGTCATTTGCTGGCTGGTCGGTGGGATGTCGTGTTAAGCAGTGATTCTCAGAGTGTGTTCCCTGGGAACATACTGCATCAGCTGCGCCAGCATCCCCTGGGAACTTGTTAGAAATGCAAGTTTTCAGGCCTTATTCCAGACCTGTGGATTTAGAACCTCCGGGGATGGGGGCCAGCAATGTGTGTTTGAACGAGCCCTCCAGGCAATTCTGGCGCATTCGAAAACCGCTGTCGTAGATCAGTGCTTTTCAAAGTAATGTGTGCACCTCCCTCCTGGGCACGTAGTGGGTTTGCTCCAGCAGGTCCAGGGTGGGGCCTGCGATTGTGCATGGTGAGCAGGCCCACGCTGCTGGTCTGCGGAACACACTGTGCAGCAAGGTATCAGAGGTAATTAGAGTCCATAGCAAACAAGGTATAGAGGAACCCCTGGAGGATTCCTTTTCCTTCTGGGGTCTGCCTCCTGCACTGCAAGGGTGGGGGGAGTGGAGAGGGTGGACTTTCTCATTCATATCCTGGAGGAATGGGCCTCCTGTGTCCTCGGGCCCTGCATTCCCTGGGGCACTGGGCAAGAGCCAGGACCAAGCAGCGGCTTTGGGCTTTTTGCTGGGATCCCCTGCGTGGCCGCTGCTCCTTTCTGCACAGCCGGCTCCCTCCCAGCTTCTGCCTGAGTTGCCGCAGTTGCTCCCGTGGCCTTCTCACCCGCTCCTCCCTCACTCCTCACTCCTCCCTTCTCCCTCCTGCCAGATTTTTTTCTCCCTGATTCTGCCTGTACCGAATTCTTGATTGGTCCTCTCCAGCACTGCAGACTCTGGAGTGCTGTTCAGACCCACCCTTAACAAGAGCCTTGTTACATGGATGTTTCTGGGTGGGTCCCCATTGCCTGCAGTTGCCTTTTATTGCAAATTCAGGCACTACAATTTTGTGGGGGAAATGTAATCAGGGCCTCCCTGGGCCAGAGAAATAGTCGGGAGAGGGGCGGTCATAACTGAGATGATGGTGTATGGCCCAGTGGGGAGTGCATTGGAGCGATTCATGGGGATTCTGAACGTACATGTGGGGACCGAGTGGGAGTTAAGTCCTCCTGAAAGCGGGGAGTTGGTTATACATGAGGGGCTACCTGTGCTGTTTACAGTCAGGCAAAGTGCCTTTGGACCTGGTGCTGCAATAACCAAAAGCATTCACTGTCTCCTGTTTTCTCCCTTTTATGAAACCTGCAGCCGAGCTTGGGGAGTGCGAGCTTCCAGAACATACCCCAGAGCTTGTGTCTGAGTTTCGGTTCATTCCAAATCAGACAGAAGCGATGGAATTTGATATCTTCCAGAGATGGAAAGAGTGCAGGTACCTTGATGCTACCATCTAACATTCTGATGTATGCATTTGGTCATTTGTAAGCATTTGTCAGACTCTTTTATCTCACGGCAGAGTGGCTCTGTTGATGACTAAAATCGCAGCTCCAGCTCTTCACTTCTTTCCCTCCTGTGCTTCAGTCCTGGTTTTCAAAGGCCCACAGGACATCTCTTTCCAGAGATGCACAGGCATACTCCTGTTTCTTCCTCTGAAGTACAGGGCCTGGTCCTGATTTGCTCGTCGCATAGCCAGGGGCGCCATGGCCATCCCGGCCTCCTAACCAAGGCAAAGGGGTGCTGCCTTGACCCACCCGGTCCCAGGCACCTGGGGCTCTGTCCGTGGCCTGGACTGCTAGGGCAAAACCTTTAGAAATGTGTCCTGAGGTTCCTTACAGGGACACTCATGTTTGAGACCATGTGTTGTACAGAGTTGTATTTCAGGACACATGGTCACCACAGCTAAATCCAGCCCTGCCACTTCTCTCTTGCTTTGTCCTCTTTCCCCCCTTAGTCACCCTAGTCTAGCAATTTTATGCCTGGATAACAGGGCCACCGTCTCTCCTCCCGCCTGGCCCGTCTTCCCCAAACACCGCCTGTGCCCAGTCACTCTTGGACTCAGAAACCGAGCATGGTTTCCTGTTGTCCCGCAGCCATTCTGGCTCCTTTGCGGATGGAAGGTGACAGTAGCACATTCTCGTATCCCATTGAAACAACAACGTAGAAACGGGCGGGCGGGCGGAGAGTCTTGCCCCGGTCCCTGTCACACCCCACCCACGCCCCTCCCTGCACGAAGCCGCTGTGAGCAGCCAGCTGTGTATCCTTCCAGCCTTTCTCCTTCGCACACGCATGCACGAATCCACACACACAGAGTCATCTCCCTAAGCGCTCCTATTATAAGCCCTGCTCTGTCCTCTTTCCGCTCAGTTAACAGTCTGTTCTTGGAGGTCGTGTCATGTTGATGTAAAGCGGTAGCCCTCATCCCTTTAATTGCCCCAAGCACCCCTTCATGTGGCCGTGCCCTTCAGGCTTGTGTGGGTGTACGCGTTGCAGTTCACATGTGTCTCGTTGGTTTTTCTAAGGGGAAAGAGCCCTGCCCAGGCGGAACTCTCCTATCTGAATAAAGCGAAGTGGCTGGAAATGTATGGGGTAGACATGCACGTTGTCAGGGTAAGAACCATGTGCGTTTAAGTAATTGGTTTTCCCGGTGACTGAAAAACGTGTAAACAATGTGCAAACAAAGTAATGCGGTGAGGAAACTGTTTTGCATTCTGCTCTGTGACGACCTGTTAGAACCCTCTACCGACTGTGCCTTCGTTTATTTGTAGGGAAGAGATGGCTGTGAATATTCTCTTGGACTGACCCCGACAGGCATTTTAATCTTTGAAGGAGCTAACAAAATAGGCTTATTCTTTTGGTAATTTAGTTTTGTCCTATATTAAAAATGTCTTTTCCTATTTTGTGGTGGAATTATATGTGATGGGTGATTATCGAGGGATATGTGCAACACCCAGATTCATTTTTAAAACACACGTACTCTTGCATTTGTGGGTGTCTGACAAATGGCAGTGGCGCTTCTGGATAATCACACTTAACATGAATGAGTGATTCCTTGAGCAAATCTGAGCTTAAACGGTAGAAAGGAAACGGCGGTGTGATGGGTAGACGGCGCTGCTGCAGACTGTGCTTTGAAAATGCTTTCTCTCTGGCCAGGCCCAAAATTACCGAAATGGATTTTAAAAAGAGCAAATTGACGCTGGTGGTGGTGGAGGACGATGACCAGGTAAGCCTTGCCTCCGTCCCTCCGCCTTGCTGTGAGTCATCCTGAGTCAGTGTTACAAATCCCCGCTCACCGGGACCCCCGTGCTTCACCTCCGAGGGCCGGGAACAGGAACACACGTTCGTGTTTCGCCTGGACAGCGCCCGGACCTGCAAGCATCTGTGGAAGTGCGCCGTGGAGCACCACGCCTTCTTCCGGCTGCGGATGCCGGGGAACGGCAAGTCCAACAGATCGGACTTTATCAGACTGGGCTCTCGCTTCAGGTTCAGGTAGGCACCGTTTTTACAGCACGGTCACTTGCCTTGAAGGAGGGCAGCCGTGATGTTTTGGTGAAAGGAGCAGTGGACCTGCATCTGGAGGCTTGGGTTGGACGTCCTGCCCCTGCTTCTTTCTTAGCATCTGACCTTTCGTGGAGCCGCCAGAGCTCGTCTAGCCTCCGCATCCTCACGGATAAGATGAAGCTAATAATCACAAAATTATTAACAGCTGACATTTAGCTGGAACTGTGCTGTCTAATACAGTAGGTGCGAGCTACATGTGGCTATCTAAATTAATTCATGTTCGGTACATTTAAAAATGTGGCTCCTTGATCTCACTAACCACGCTTCAGGTGCTCGGTACAAGTGAGATGGGTGGCTGCCACATTGGGCCGTGCTGATGTAGAACATGAGCGTCGTTTTGGAAAGCTCTGTCGACCACACTGCCCTAGAGCTTTTCATGTACCAACTCGTAATCCTCCCCATGGCCTTAATGAGATGGGTCCTCAGATTATACCCATTGTACAAATAAGGGAACTAGGTCCGGGGGCAGGTATATAATAATCTGTCCAAAGTCACAGCCAGTCAGTGGTAGAGCTGAGATTCAACCCCAGGCAGTCTGGGTCTTCTGTCTTATATTTTAACCACTACTCTATCGCCTGTCACACGCCAACATCAAGAAATTTGGTGACAATTAAGAATGAGAGCGGATGTCACTGTGTGTGTGAGTGACCCAGGCTGGGCTCAGGAATATCTGAATCTGAAAAGACCCTGAAGAAAGAGAGATTTATTCCGATATATTTCTACTTACGTTTCTAAGACCATGTCTCTCAAAGTGCACGAGAACTCCCTGGGTGTTTTTTTAAAATGAGGATTTAGGACCTCATCTAAGGCCTTTGTAATCAGAATCTATGGGGGCTCACGTGTGGCTGTATGAATAAGGCCTGGGAATGTGCATTTAAAATGCACTCCCAGCGTCGATTCCTGAGGAATGTTTACAGATCTGAGAATTGCTGTTACAAGATCTAAAACTTCACATGGTTTCATAACCTCTTCTCACACATGGCATGTCCTTGAACTGTATTTAAGATGCCAAACGATTTGTTCATTTCAGATTTTTCTGCTGTGCACGGAAATGTCTGTGCACTTGTGTTTAAAGAATCGCTTGGTTTGAATGTATTTTTAAATGCTGCAGAGGGGAGTGGGGGGCACCAAGTCCCTTCTGAGAAAGAATCGACTCATGGGTCCTGCGATGGAAGGATGGAAGGAAGATGTCATAACTGCGAAGCCTGGTAGAGACGTTGCACGGTGTGCTGACATTTGCTGTGCTCCAAGTGAGCAGGACCGCACTGTTGAGTTTGCCCAGGCGGCGTTTCCCGTGGGACTTGGTCCAGCCCAGCATGAGAAGGAAGGGAGTTTGGAGATGACTTTGCCCCTTGGAGCCAGTAACAGCAGGTGGCAAGTGGCTCCTTCCATGTGATAAATCATAAGCCGAGGGTGGCTGGAACGAGGCAGTGATAGATCAGACAAAGACAGCATTGCCTCCTGGAAGCTGTAGCTGGACGTTGGGTTGATGGAGAGCCTTGGTGAAAGCAGCAGTGTTTTTCTTGGCATAGCAAGGAAAGCCAAGGTTTAGTTAAGTGGTCATTGATAACAGCCTTTTAAAAGAGTTAAAGGTCTACCTAATACATTTTAGGAAAGGTATTTTATGTGTGAATCTGTGTTCTCTTAGTCAAATATTCCAAGTACTCAGACCTGCTTGGTTTGTGCAGTCAAGTGGCTGGTACCTAAATTGCAGGTTTTGTCCTTTGGCGGAAATATAATACAGCCTGGATTTGGCAACAGTGATTTTATTTTCAAACGGAAGGCTAAATTTAGTGTGTGTCTTTACCAAACGAGTTTGAGATACGTTGAAATTTACATTGGAGCTCTTGGAAATAAAAGTTCACTTCCAAATACGTATAACGTACTGACATTCTGATACCGGTAGCGTGCAGTGAAATGTTTGCTTTCCAGTGGCCGGACGGAATACCAGGCTACACATGGCGCCAGGTTACGGAGAACCAGCACCTTCGAGAGGAAGCCTAGTAAACGCTATCCGTCCCGGAGACATTCGACATTCAAAGGTGGTGTGCTTTTCATTCTGTCTTGGAATTTTACATCATGGTTAAGTTGGTTAGTAAGCCCCAAGGAGTTTGGCAAAGCAGTTTGTGAAGGAACTGTCTGCTGTTCTCTGTCATTCTGAAGCTTTTGACAAAACCCCAGTGGGCTTCTCTTGGTGGGAATCAGGCTACTCTCACCATCCAGCTGTCTTTAGTCTTTTCCATTGGATGTGTTCGTTTCTTTCTCCCCCTTTTCCATATTTCTTTTCTTCTGTTGGACCTGGGACCTTAGGGACATCATAGGTAAACATGTCTCTTGCCCGTGGAAGATGATGACATGTCTCGGAGGGAAGAACAGTCCCTTCTCCCCTCCATCTTCCAGTTTCAATTGGGGACATCAGTCTCGCGCTAACCAGAATTCTGACCACTTAAGAGCAGAACCAGAACTAATTAAAGACTGGACTCGGGGCCCAGAGTCAATCCAAGCACACCGTGCCCTTGAATTTAGCCAGGGCCCAGGATGCTTGCCCTCCCCACCCCCGCTCTCCCGAACTCCCCGAGCTTTGTCTGTCATTTACTACTGTGGCCTCACACCTGCATGAGGCCTGGTGCCCAGTTACAGGTTCAGTCAGCAGATGAGCAAGCCGGGCTCGTTTCTGTTTAAACCTGGCCTCCAGATCCCATCTCCTAGCTCTCCTTTGTCCACACTTGTTTGCTCCTCCATTCAGGACTATCTTGTTCTTTTATAGCAGGACCTCTGCATCTCCCCACCCCACTCTTGTTCCCTCCCATATATCATTGTACTGGACATTTCCTATGTTTTTCTTGTATAACTCAGGACTTAGTGGGCCTTTGTGGGACCTGGCACCTGTGCTTTCCCATCTAGAATCCTTAACCTTGTGTTCCCCACTGTTTCCTTCCTTTTTGAACCAACGGTACAATAGCATGGCAGCCAGAAACTCTCCAAAGCCATTCTTGGCTGCTTTCATGGGGAAAAAATTGCCCAGAGCCCTAGGAATGTGGCCTCACTTTCAAGAAAGACCAGAGGTTGAGAGGGTGGGGCTGGGTCCAGGGAGGGTGACAGGTCCGTGAAGGGCGATTGGTTGCAGGAACTGGGAGTGATGAGTGATGGAGCGGGGCCGGGGAGTGGGGGGATGAGAAAGCTCTCTGTCCCAAGGGCTGTGTTCACCTCCCTGGTGAGCATTATTATGCTTGTGCACGTAGCCAGTTGGGTCAAAGTTGCCCAGAAACACCCCGGTCGAAGGAAGAACTTGCTGGTGGGGCCGTCCAAAGATAGTGCCCCCTCTTTTCAGAGTGAGCGCCCAGTCCTTGGAGGTGTACAGGCACAAAGGGAAAGGCGCCGCGGTATGGCTGCTGCCGAGGGGAGGGTGCTTGATGCCACGAGGTGGCCTTAGAGCTCTTCCAGACTCCAGGTTCCGTGCTTCTCCTGCCCTTCCCTTCCTGGTCTTCATCCTCTTTC